TTAGAAAAAATGAAATACTTTGACCATCAGAGGGGTTTTGAAACAATGGTAATACAAGACATGGTTCTTACAAGGCACACACAAAGTTAATATATGTAACACATGCCATTTATTTTTAAAGCAGGAAGCTGGGAACTGGCAAAGGGTGATCTTTCCATCCTGAAAGCAACAATCTGCATGAACTGAAGATCTTTCCTCCATAAAAGCAACAATTGGCAAGAACTGATGATCTTTCCAGCATAAAAGCAACAATCTGCAGGAAGTGATGATATTTCCAGCATAAAAAACAATCTGCATGAACTAAAGATCTTTACACCATAAAAGCAACACTCTGCAGGAACTGATGATCTTTCCTCCATAAAAGCAATAATCTGCATTAACTAAAGATCTTTACACCGTAAAAGCAACAATCTGCAAGAACTGATGATCTTTCCAGCATAAAATCAAAAATCTGCATGAACTAAAGATCTTTTTACCACGAAAGCAACAATCTACAGGAACTGCATAAAAGCAACAATCTGCATGAACTAAATATCTTTACACCATAAAAGCAACCATCTGCATGAACTAAAGATCTTTACACTATAAAAGCAACAATCTGCATTAACTAACGATCTTTACACCATAAAAGCAACAATCTGCAGGAAATAAAGATCTTTCCACCATAAGGGCAACAATGTGCAGGAACTGATGATCTTTCCACCATAAAAGCAACAATCTGCAGGAACTGATGATCTTTCCACCATAAAGGCAACAATCTGCAGGAACTGATGATCTTTTGCTGTTTGTTCATCCAAGTGACTTGTGTTGTGCCTGTTTATAGGAAAGCTTTAATATCTGTGCTTTTCAGCCGACTTCATCAAGCATTTGTTGACGGGGTTAACTGATGACAATTATCAGAGATACCTTCATGTTCTGCTTTTTTACTTCCCAATGAAGCATCAGTACTCAACAAGCCCATGTTAAATTTTTCATGGATATGATTACAATTTCTTAAGTTTGACAGATCAAATTGTTTCAGCTTCAGCCCTCCATAGTCCCCTTTTACAACTAAATTGCAGGTTAGGTAACATCATCATGTAGAAAGTCCTTGCAGAATATCAGTCTCTCACCATATTCTCATCCACTCTCCTCCCCTTACAGAATGTCAGGCTCTCACCATATTCTCATGCACTCTCCTCCCCTTACAGAATGTCAGTATCTCACCATATTCTCATGCACTCTCCTCCCCTTACAGAGTGTCAGTCTCTCACCATATTCTCATGCACTCTCCTCCCCTTACAGAATATCAGTCTCTTACCATATTCTCATGCACTCTCCCCCGCTTGCAGAATGTCGGCCTCTTACCATATTCTCATGCACTCTCCTCCGCTTGCAAAATGTCGGCCTCTCACCATATTCTCATGCACTCTCCTCCCCTTACAGAATGTCAGTCTCTCACCATATTCTCATGCACTCTCCTCCCCTTACAGAATATCAGTCTCTCACCATATTCTCATGCACTCTCCTACCCTTACAGAATGTCAGTATCTCACCATATTCTCAAAACATACCTTGTTGGTGCAACCATACTTAGCTGATGTTTAACCCTACCTTGCTTATGTTTAACCATACCATGCTGGTGCTAAACCAGAGACTTAATGCTGTTTCACCTTTGCCATCCTTTCAACTTCTGTTGAATGATCTTTACAGTTTCACACAAGCACAAAAATAATATCAACATCTCTAAATGATTAGTTAGTCATTGCTGTTTATAGAATTAGCACCTCATAGATGAGAATCAAACAGATGCAAATCCCAGAAACAATGTTCAACCATATAACGGTTATATTAGGACACCCATAAAGTTACAAAGTAACCTTCAGTCCAGTGTGAAGTGGGTATAAGGGAACAGCAAATCATGTATAGTGTGAGAAAGGATATAAATTTTGTACACACAACCTTTTACTTTATAAATATGGGTAAATGAAAATAAGCATGCAAGAATTTTTAATTTTGGAACCATGGATAATTTTAGGGAAACAAACTTAACGATACACACACAATCTCAAACTTCACTCTTGTCTCCTACGTTATCTTTTTCTGACCTTCAAACTTTAATATTGAGGATCATTTCTAAATTAAATTCAACATGATCAATCATAAAAACATGCAACAAACTTCTAGTATTAGTTTTTAGCAAACTGCCATGCTCAGTAAAAAAATTTCTGCTTAAGTGATCATAATCTGACATATCTACAAAAGTAGCAGGTGTACTTAAATGACACCTGTAACAATAATACTGGAGGGAAATGTGAAAGATAGGCAAGCAAGGGTTAGGCCATGGTACAAAAGGGATGCCAACATCAAGAGATGGACAAAGTGAGTGATGTTCAACCCCAACAGGACATCACATCGAGCGATAAACATCCGATGACACAAAGTGCCACCATTCGGATGAGGATCACCCGGGGACAAGTCCCAGAAATCCCCATTCAAACCATAGGCTGGATTATATTAGGGCCCCCAGCAACAGTTGAAAGAATGACAAAGTACAATTTTTGCCAGTAAATAAAATAGGGTCACAAACAATTTTGATTACAAAAAATGCGCTAGGACTTATTTGGGAAGGCGTCTCCTCCCCCCCCCCCCTCCCCAAATAAATGAGTAAATTTATTTACATTCAATTACATGTAATCAATTACATGTAATTGATCACATGTAATGAGATATGCCATCTTCTTTCAGAACATTGTCATAACCCCAAACCCTGAATTTCTACTTCTTTATTTCAGATGAGTGACGTACCTTAAACTGTGAACCAGTGGCATATTTACTCCCACTGGACATTCAGCAACAAAGATCTTATTCTGGCTGATGACCTTATGAAGGGCTCAGTTTTAGTGTAGGGCTTATATCAAAAACATCCTGAAAATCACGCTAGGGCTTTTTTTGAGGGTCTTATTTTCGGGGAAAACAGCAGCTGCTAGCAAACATTCTATTTATATTTGCTATAGCCAGCATTCATTGCAGAGATGACCCTTGACCCTTAGATGGTTTGTATACCTGTACACAACACAGGCCTTATCTTAGCCAGTATATATCTTAACAAATGGCCACAAACTGCATAGGATTACAAGCAGTTTTGGGCACAGTTATAGGGCACAACAAGAAATATAATCTTATGCAACTGTTCTATAAAACAACAACTTAATTTTTAATTCATACAATCTTAACTTCTTTTTTATAGCTAGATAAAATAGTGCTAGTCAGTCGGGCAGTGGGGGCTTCCCTTGGGTATAGACCAAGGATCCCCCCTTCCCCCTTGAGTAGATGACAAGACCCTCACCCCAACATTTAAATAATTTTATTAAAGAGAGGACAGTAAGAAAAACAAAAAAGGATGGCATTATGTTTTGGCCATAATGTGATCTTAATCTATAATTAAATGTGAGTTAATTAGATTTTTAACAGTAGATGTACAAACTACTCATAAAAACAAAAATGTCCTTGTCATTTATTTAATCTGTAGCTTTAAGAATATATTTTATACAATTAAACTAAAAAATTTTAGTATAGCGGATTACTGCAAGTACAAATGCACTGACTTATAGAATTTTAAACTTTCTCCCCACCAGGTTGGAGACTACTGGTCTAGGGTGTAATGTAAACTAGCTTAGTGTGTAAAGTAACGCAGGCCAGCCTACGGTGTAAAGAATATAGTGGGATGGCCCAGCATGTAAAGTAGTATATACTAGTTTTGGGTATAAAATTATGAAGGCTAGTGTAAAGTAATGTGAGTCAGCCTTAGGTGTAAAGTACCGTGAGTCAGCCTTGGGTGTAAAGTAATGTGTAAACTATCCTAGGGTTAAAGTAATGTCAGCTGGCTTAATGTATAAAGCTATATAAGCTACCCAAAGGTGTAGGGCAGGGCTATTCAACTAAGTTTACTCTAGGGCCTACACTTTGAAAATGAGGACTGTCACGGGCCAGTGGCTTTAGCCCCAGAATTGAAAAGATTATTAATACAACACACATGGCAATGATCTGTCTGCAGGCCACCAGTTGAATAGCCCTGGTGTAGGGTTATACTAATTTTGGGTGTAAAGTACCGCAAGCTAACATAAAGTGAACATATGTAAACCAACCCACAGCATCAACTGATGGAAGCAAACCCTAGGATGTTAGGTAGGGTAAGCTAGTCTAGCATGTCTTCTTCTTTTGTCTTTTTCTTTCATTGTAGCCCTGTGTCTTGATTTTGTCATCTCACTGATACCAGGTTGTAGCCTAGTGTCTTGATTTTGTCATCTCACTGATACCAGGTTGTAGCCTAGTGTCTTGATTTTGTCATCTCACTGATACCAGGTTGTAGCCTAGTGTCTTGATTTTGTCATCTCACTGATACCAGGTTGTAGCCTAGTGTCTTGATTTTGTCATCTCACTGATACCAGGTTGTAGCCCAGTGTCTTGATTTTGTCATCTCACTGATACCAGGTTGTAGCCCAGTGTCTTGATTTTGTCAACTCACTGATACCAGGTTGTAGCCCAGTGTCTTGATTTTGTCATCTCACTGATACCAGGTTGTAGCCTAGTGTCTTGATTTTGTCATCTCACTGATTCCAGGTTGTAGCCCAGTTTCTTGATTTTGTCATCTCACTGATACCAGGTTGTAGCCCAGTGTCCTAAGTCTAGCTTTTAAAGCAATGCAAGGTAACCTATACTGTATAGATACTTTAAGCTTTTGATTTTCTATGTATATTTACACAAACACTGCACTAATTTCAACAGTTAAGGCAAAGAAGAACCATCATAAACAAATTAACAACTCCCATTGCAGAAGGCAGTTTTCCAGCACTGTTATCTTAAAAGCATTCTGTTTATTTCCATATAAGCACCAGTAAAAACATAATCCATCAGGCCTTGAGTGAGCCAACAAGGTGAGATCCAAAATGAGCATTTCACAATTAACATGCAGTTTCAAACATTTTTAAAAGGTGTAAAATGCCGTTATTTCCCTTTTTTTAAGCAATATGGAGTCCATCCAAATCATTATCCTTATCCAGATTGATTGTGTGGACATTCATTGGCTCCATTTCTAACTCATCAAGTGTTAAATCTAATGACGGTTCCGGTTCTTTGGGTGGTAGTTCAGGGGGCTTGACTGCTTTGTTCTCGTAGTCGATGTAACGTTTCCAGACACTGGTGACCAACTCAGACATGACAACATCGTTTGTGTTAGTTGCTAGAATGCGCAGCATGAAAACACCATCGTTGCCTAGGTAGTCTCGGACGAATGTGACAACAGTTCTCTTTCCCTCCTGTAAATAAATCATATAATTTATTTTCATTTAAAAACACCACTACTTTTTTTTAAAATCAAAAACAAAATGTTTAATGGAAATAAAAATTAGATGCTACAGCTTATTTACATTCATGTGTTATCAGTACCGAGAAGAAAAGCAAAGAATAGTATCATTATGTATGTCACAGATGGCAAACAAAAAGGGTTGGCACAAGATGGCTACCTCATATCTTATAAAAGTTTTTAATATTTTTAAGGTGAGACGATTGAAAGGAAGGACTGCATCAGCAACATCTAAAGGCTAAACAAAATACAGTTTTAGAACCAAGTTACATATTTTCTATTCTAATTTTCCAGTTTTAATATAGGCCAGTTAAAGTTGCAGAACCACTAGAGACAATTTCAAATTCAAATTCTCTTTCGTTGACCACTTTCAGCTAGGTCCGTTCACATTTCTGCTCACTTTCCTTTCAGCTATATTTGTGGTGACGTTTTCTGGTCTCGATCTCATTTGATTTTGGATTGTGTTCAATATTGTCACTTTCTATTTGTTGTGGTTTCCGCTCTTGCTGTTGTATGTGTAATTTGGCTGGCCCTGTGCTGCGCTCAAGATGATTGGATGTTGAATCGATTTATTGTGGTATTCCTTGGCTGTTTGTTGTTTCCGGGGAAAGCAAATTGCCTATCCTAATAAGGACCGGCGGTCGATTGACTTGATCAGGTACTGATGGCAACATTGCTGAGGTCTGGTATTATTTGGTGATTTTCTCGTATCCTTGTTGTAAAGTACTGCTCCTACATAGGGTTTCAGTAATTTTGGCCTTAGTTGTGTCATATCTGGTATTAGTGTTTGAGATAACGGTGTCGACCTCGTTTGATTTCAGGTTTTGGCTGTCGATATGGTTCCTCTGGTGATGACCAAAGGACGTCATCATCTTGCAGTTCTGAGTTATAGAAGTTCGGGTCCTCAAGCTCCTTGATGCGTTCGTTTATTTGGTCAATTGTTGCCACCGGAGAGCTACTTCATGATAAAGCAGACAATGGTGAAGGCTCTTTGTGATTAAGTGAACAGTTGAACAGAACAAGCAGAAAGATTGGCTGGATCTGCACCACTGTTTTGACTAGAGACTTTCGTGACATAAACAACAGCAACATCAACAGAAGGCCAAATTCCCTGGCTACCAGTCCCCACCAGGGTGGTCATGGAAAAAACTATAAAATACAGGAACAGGAAACGGTTTTGGGGAAATACAAGAAATTAAGGAGCAAAATTAGTTATAATATTAGAAATAATAAGACAGAAGTAAGAGCAGTCATAAAACACATTGGCTACCTAAAAAGATAATAGAACATGTGTCAAAATGCCCAAGGTACAGTGACGTAATTCTTGATTCATTCATCAGTACTACTTACTGCTTTGTTAAGCAAACATACTAACTATAATGTTACAGTCATTTGCTTTTTGTTTAGATACTGCAATAATAAGTTTGGGTAATCATTTCCCTGTGTGGGTTCCGGGGCCCTATTATAGGAAAAAATAATAGACCCGCTGCTTACCCAAAAGCAAGTTGTTAAGAGTCAACTAATTGGGAGCTTCCTTCGAACTCAAGAGTGCATCTGCCTGAGAGGCAAGGAACCAGCAGTCTGCATAAAAATGAGTCAGATCTGTAAAATGGATACACACGTAACACTTAGGTTCTGAAACAGGACTGAAGTCCAAAAGTGGATGAACATGAAGAAGAAGAAAGGTAATCATGTTATATTCTCAACTGTTCAGTTGGTGATCTGTACTAAAACTAAGAATTTAGGAGCTGGAACTAAAGAAGGGTGTGACTCACCTGGTGTGAGCTGCCATCTTCATTTAGGATTGAGAGATACTTTGTAACATATTTGACCGACTGGTCAGTTCTGAGCACTCTTTAAAGAAGGATATGACTCACCTGAGGTGAGCTGCCATCTTCATTTAGGATTGAGAGATACTTTGAAACAAATTTGACCGACTGGTCAGTTCTGAGCACTCTTGTCAGCCATGCTGAAAATAAAGCCAAGTGAAAGTTTGTATTTATGCAGATATTGGCAAATATGAATATTGACATAAATAAGGAAATCTGTTTGTCTTGTTTACTTTCTATCTGTCTATCTATAGGTGTATCCATACTCTCTTTATGTTGCTGCTGACACATACTGTATACACAAGATCTCTCCACTGCTGCGGTTCTGCTGCTTTTCTGCCTATATCCGTTTATACTCCATTTCTCTTCCATCTGTATTTCTGAATTTTCTTAGATCATCCATGTCTCATTTTTTTCTTTTGCTATCCAGTAGAGAGTTGTCCTTGCCTAAATGTCTAAGCTATTTCCATCTTATTCCTCTAAAAATGATTGCTAACTATGAACGTATACATTTTAACATTTCTCATAGTCCATGCCATCTCAAACATTTCCCACTATCTGAGAGACTGTCTAATCCTTACTCTCTGGAAAAAATGTTTTTTTTTTTTCCAAATACTAAAAATGTTATCAGGTACTTTCAATCAGTTCTGACACAGACACCTTGTGGCATTGGTAGTTATGTCTATGCACAACCTTCTGTCTCATGTACTTTCAATCAGTTCTGACACAGACGATTCTCCATGCCCTGATGTTTAACTGTTCAATATCATCTCCCTCTGTCTACAGATACAGGAAATACTTTAGGTAAAGAATGTTATTTATAATCAAAGCCATATCAACAGAAAAGAGGGAATAAAGATAGATGTGAGAAATCCTCCCTGTGTGGGTTCTGGGTATTTGTTCTGGGGAAAAAGAACCCACTGTCCAATAACATGTATGTCCTAAAAAGCAACTAATTCAGAATCAGATTTCAGAGGAGGACAGAGAATGATACCAGTGGAAAGTTGAAACAACTGGGCAACAACTGACAACAGACAAATATTGAATGATAAAAAGGATTAAAGAGTCCTAATCACTGAAGTCTGCTCCAGATCAGGAATGAAACAATAATATTGCCATTCCTGATTTCTTCAAATATGCCCACACTGATATCTTAAGGTATAAGAATAAAAGTGTCCAGGATTCTCTATGTTGATAGTCTCTAGAGATGCAGAGCTCGTAAACCACGTGAAACTATAGTGGATGAGGAAGTCCACTGCAGTAAAAGTCTAACATGCAAAAGAAGCAAAGTACTCATTTTGTGGTGTAAGGTGTAGGTAAATGAAATCCTAGGTCTGCAGGCTACATACTGTTAGCTACAAAAGAGATAACCTATGATGTATGAGATGTTAAATATATGGAAGTGAGGTTAAACAGTCATGAGCAGGATGTGATGATTCCTTGGGTGAGCCCAGTACCAGAGCACCATGTATTAGCTCTGCATTTGTGGAAGCCTCCTTGGGTGGCAGGGGATGTTCATGTTCTGCCCCTGCCTTCTCTTGAGGGCTGACCAGCATTATGGGGCTTCTTTGGGTGAGCCTGATTGGGGCACCACCTGTGACCTGGAAAAAAAATATGACCACACAACAATGAGACTGCCATGTCCCCAGAAACTAACCAGGAAGGCTAACCCGGTCAACAAATGCCAGCAGAAGTCAGATGTGTTGGCCGAAAGGTGCAAATATTGCAACCATGCTGTAAACGGACACAATGCAATTACATCTTCGGATGAAAACAGAAGAAGAAGAAGATATTGCCATTCATATTTTTAAAAGCCACTAATTTCACAATTTTATAAGCTTGATAAAATGTAATAAATTCTCAGTGAGCTTTTCTATAGAAGACTTTTTCTTCTTTGCTGTCACCGACTGTTAACTTCAGCAGAAAGGTGTTTATCTGCTACTGGACTTTGGTCTTGTCCAGGGCTTGTGTGCTGCATGCACATCTGTGTTACATATCTGTCTTATTTATGTGCAGACTGTTAGTTTCTTGCCCCCAGGTAGATGCACACAGAATTTGAATAAAATACTAATCCTATCTATCTTAGCCAGGTCCTGGTTAGAGAGACTAGCCTGGACTGGTTTCAGCCCTCTTTCTGGTGAAGCATCATGCATGGTTCAGTACCTCTGGTTGACCACCATACTTGGTTCAGTACCTCTGGTTGACCACCATACCTGGTTCAGTACCTCTGGTTGACCACTATACCTGGTTCAGTACCTCTGGTTGACCACTATACCTGGTTCAGTACCTCTGGTTGACCACTATACCTGGTTCAGTACCTTTTGGTTGACCACCATACCTGGTTCAGTACCTATGGTTGACCAAACCACTATACCTAGTTCAGTACCTCTGGTTGACCACCATATTTAGTTCAATAACTCTGTATCCCCAAAAGAAGATGCAAAAGAACTCACTTATGAAACTGTAGATGGTCAACACAAGCAGAAGCAACATCCAAAACCACTCGACCACAAACATCTTCTCCAGCAGCATGTTTATAGTCAGCAGACACTGGATCCAGGTGCCTTGGCCTTTCACCTGGAAATGGCACAAGGCCACACGGGGGAAATGGATTCGATCCAACCTTGACTTTGAGTCAGAGTAAATCTGTGGATGCATAAATTATTATGAATACTAAGTGAACCAGAAGCTGAGATGATTGAACTGCTAGAAGTGCCAGATAGAAATCTCATGGTTTTCAGACAGTGGTATGAGAGTCCCACCATGGAAGAGACCAGAGCCTCAGCACCTAATATTCCCCAAGTTAGCGCTGGATATATTGCAGCAAACCTCCACTGTGGAAACGCAAAATGTTTTTAGTGTTCATAAACCCAGCTGAACTGTGAGAGCCATTTTAGGATGTAACCAGCTCTTGATTCTAGACTGGTACAGTTTTGCTGACATGTTTAGGTACAGTAGGAACTAAAGTCACAAACTAAATTCATTCTTTGACTTTATTCAAGAACCAAAATGGTCCCCTTAAATGCAAATTTAATTATATGTTCGCCCGCCAGGGAAACATATTTGTGTTTAGACTTTTTTATGCATTCATGTGTGATAAAAATATGTAATATAAAGTATAACTTAACATTTGTTGTTGATAGGTAGATGGTAGTGAAGGAAGAAAACTCCTTTGAAGGAGAGTTCCACTCCATAATAACACCGAGCAACTGTAGACAGTTCTGATATATTTTTTCTAGTGTGTCCTGGAAAGTGGTTCAGTTGTTGAACCGTTGGATAACAATAATTTTTCTACTTTGTTTAATACTTGATATCTTTGTTTATTGACATAGTCACTACTTTAGCCAAATTGACTGTCTTTAATGCATCCTTTTTTCTTTAACAGAAAAAAAGATTTAGTTATGTCGTATTGCTTGGCAAGATCAGAAACATAAACATCATTCTCATGTTTAGTTTTTATCTCCTTATTCGTTTCTGCTAGAATATGTTTAGGCTTCTTTCCACCATTGTTACTTTTTTGGAAAAGCAACACCAACAACTGTATCACAAACAATCAATGTTCACAGCATATACACACAAGTACAATTGAAGGTGAGAACCAAATACATGGCGCCAAAGCCAGGTTTGTGTTCGCAGACTGATTTGTTCACACCTAGATGTTCATGACCTGAGGTATCATCATTGTATTTCGTTGTCAAAAGATTACAACCCCATTTCCAGAAAGAGACAAAGAAAGAGAGAAGGAGAGAGAGGGAGAAGGAGAGAGTGGGAGAGAGACAGACAGAAAGAGAGACACAGGTAGAGAGAGACAGACACAGAGTGAAAGTTAATTGTTGTTTTTTTGTTTTTATAAAGTATTTTTAAATACTTAAAAAGCCAACTGTCAATTTACTAAAACTACAGTTTGCCAGACAATACCTGCAAGGCTCGTACACCATAATGCCAGTAATTGAAGTCCAGAAAAGCTGTGAGAATGAAAAACTGCAAGATGACGTTAATGAGGAAGAGGGCTTTCACCACCAAATACATCGTGGACAGGTAGTTGCCAGTGTTTGCACCCATACACAACATCCAGTGTTGCAAGACCTGAGGGAAAATAAATGTCACAATTTAAGCTAAAACAAAACAAAAGCTAAAACTGGAGAGACGATTTAATGATCAGCCAGTGTTTATGTAGTATAAATCTAGAATTTTAAGTAACATGTATAGAATTTAGTTTATCAAAGTCAAAATATCCGAATGTAAAGAATTTTTGCTAAGGAGAATTATTTGAAGGTGGGGTAAAAAAAGATGCACATTACTCGAAAATAATTACACTTATATTTAAAATAACTTGTTAGATTAAGTAGAGAAATGCATGTAGTTTACAAATATGAACTTAACAACAAATGTCATGTATTGAAAATTGGCATCAATTTTTTTTGGGCAGGGGTTCTACCTTAAAAAAAAATACAGAATGACATTACGGTTGTAAAATTTAATTTCATATTACTTACTCTCTTTGTCTGTCTGCCCACTCTACTTTTCATGAACCAGAAAGGTTTACGGTTAATCTTCAGCCAGATTTCCAGGAATTCTGCAACGCCTGCAAATATGTTGTTTTTCTTCTCTGTCGTTTCAAATGAACTGTCTCCAATCATAGTCACCATTTTCTCAATCTGGGTTCCTGAATACTCGTTGCATTCTTTCCAGATTAAGTTTGGCAGTTTAAACATGAAAGCCTGGGAAGGAAAAAATGATACACTGTAAGCTTGGAAAAAAGGCACAAGACCCAGTGGATCAAGTCAACAGGTGGAGTGTACTGTATGGTTTAGACAACAACAAACACTTATGGAAATTACCAATGGAAAAGAGCCACCAACAGTGAACATCACAGTAAACAGAGAGATACTAGTTAACAAATAACAAGTTTCTCCTATCTTGGACACACAGTAACAGATGATGGCAGAAGTAAAACAGAAATAAAAAGAGAATAGGATTGGCTAAAACTAACTTCCATAAGATGCGCAAATTATTGTCAGCTAGAGTGACAAACAATGCATTAAAAATTAGAATCTTTGAATGCTATATAGTGCAAAAACTTGGAGAATGAATAAGCAACTATAAAATTGAACTGTCTCTGGAAATGTGGATAAGCAGAATAAATAAGTCCTATCTCATGGAAACAAAAACAGTCCAATAGGAGGGTCTGGAACGAATATGAATGAAAAGAGAATTACTACAAACAATAATAAAGAGACAATTGAAATACTGTGGCTACATTGAAAGATTCAATATAATCTGTAACAAGTTGGGAAACACTTTGACAGAATGTAGACAAATTCTAGAAAGATGGAATAGTGGAATGTATGATATGAATGACTGTGAGGATAAGAATGATATACATGAACATATACAGCAGGGACAAAACCTGACTCCTTATCAGATGAAACTACATGGGAAATAGAGAACCTGAAGAATGGTAAATCACCAGATGAGATGAGATAGCAGCTGAACTAATTAAAGCGGGCGGGAAAGAAAGCATACAGATCTGTCACGCACTATGTAAAAAGATATGGGAATATCGAATATGGCCAAACGATAGTAAGAGAACTATCTTTATTCCAATACCAAAAAAGGACAACCTGAAATTATGCACCAACTATAGAACTGTTGCCGTGATCAGTCATGCGGGCAAAATTCTACTAAAATTCATAATGGAAGGACTTCGTAAGAAAATGGAAGAAGACATTAACGTGGCTCAAGCTGGATTTAGACATAAGAGGAACAAGAGATCACATCCTTAAGTGGGTTTAATAATAGAGAAGTCCAGAGAATTTAATGTAAACCTATGTTCATGCTTTGTGGATAATTCAAAGGTATTTGACTGTGTACAACATCATAAATTTTGGGAAATCACAAGGAATATGGGCTTTCCATCACATGCAGTACACCTCGTAACAATGCTCTATCTAGACAATTGGTTTTTAACCTTCCCAACGCCACAACATGTTAATATAGTTCCTTATGTTGTGTCCTTTAATACAGTTCCCCATGTTGTGGCAACCCCTAACATATAATTATTTTTGTTACTACTTCAAAACTCCTGTCTATTTGTTTAATCTGTACACCAAAAATATAAAATGAGAAATGTCAGAGATGGTTAGAATACCAGAGAGCAATATGATGCCCTAAATATCGGTGGGCACGAAATACCAGAATCCTATATGCCGAAGATACAGTATTGCTATCCACATCCCAGACTGGTATAGAAAAACTTAATAACCTCAACCCAAAGAAATGGTGAAAATCACAACTTATATCTCAACAAAGCAAAAACAAAGATAATGCTTAAATATAAAACTACTATGGAGAAAGAAATATATGTTAATCAGGAAAAATTAGAGGTTGTGGAAAATGTTGAATATCTTGGGCCATTGATTACCAAACCATGGTGATACAATGAAAGAAATTAAACGACAACTATCAACTGCTCTTCAAAGACTAACACTGAATAAATGACGGAGTGGGACAGACTAACATTGAATAAATGATGGAGTGGGACAGACTAACACTGAATAAATGACTGAGTGGGACAGACTAACATTGAATAAATGACGGATTGGGACAGACAGAACTACAAACATTAGATTTCTAAGAGCAAGAAGTTGAACCTTAACATTTCCTTGATACTTGAAGAGGTTGGGGAAAAACACACAAGGCAGTGGAGAAGAAAAAGGGAAGCAAAAAAATAATAATTATAACATATATGCATGTCATGAAAGGCAACTAAGGAGGGCTGGCCTACGACTGGTGACCCAAACAACAAAACTTTAGCTTTGTAATCCAACAAATAATTAGGAAATCTGCAAGAAATTATTATGTGTTGGTTGGCTGAGAAGATATACTCCACTCGAAGATGAAAGGTCAAAAAATAAAACAGTGCACGACTGATTGCTTGATTGGTGAGGATTATCATCACAAAACCCCAGATAGATTAACAGATGATCCTATTTCTTCCTCAAAAGCTCAAAAAGGTTAAAATAATTTATGGCATTGGCATATGTTCTGTGTTGATTAATCTTGTTCCTAAGGTGAAATGATCATTTCTGGAAGCTCCAGGTTGCACTCCCATGTCCAAGAGCCTAAACTGGCATACAGTCATGCCCTTTGCTGTTCGTCTTCACTGTAAGTGTTGTGCATGGCATCTATAGTATCATTACCCAACCCCCCCCCCCCCCCAAGTAATGCACAAGAACTAGGGAAATAATGAATAACAAAGATTTATGATAACGGTTGGGGGGGGGGGGGGGAGTTCAGGGAGGTAGGCAGGTGGTTGTACCCCACCAGAACATCACACAAGCGATAAACACCCAGTGACACAAAGTGCCACCAATCAGATGAGAATCACCCATGGAGAGGTCCCAGAAATCTCTTTCATACGTTAAGCCATATCTATGGCCCGGCCATATTCAGGGCCCCTGGCAAAAGCCAGAGTGGGGCTTCAAAATACCACAGGGAGTATATAAAGTGACATTAAAAAATGTACAGAAGACAGTTATCATGACTCACATACCTGGCAAATGAATATAACTGTGATCCAGCGGTAGAAGTTGATTTCTCCCAGGTCCTCTGTATCTAACAGGGTTGAGTTTGCAGGCCCTCCATGCTCGGTACTTATTTCATAAGGTACCTGTGTGTGGAAGTCAGAATTATATACTGCTAATGACATGTCATTATATGTGCAAGGTTAAAAGACTATGACATACAAATGTTATGTCTGATGTTACAGTGTTGTTGCTTCCTCTGGACAAATGGCTTGAGTATGGTGACACATTGAAATGTCTAAACCTTACGGATGAAACTAAACCAAAACAGATCTGCTTCCAGTTAGCAAAATAAACAAAAACAGGAATAGACTCTCCTCCCTCTCCCCCCCCCCCCCCCCCCCACCAATTATAAAAGGTGACTCATTTGGGGAGGAGGGGGGTTGGGTGTTGTTGAATGTGGTTGTGTTGTAAAACTTCATATTCTAACAGACTAAGGAGATCAAATTCCATCGAATCAAATACCATTTTTTCTTTATAGCCAACTTTGAGTGTACATTTTCTTTGATTCATTATACTGACAATTTTATAAATGACGCCCACCATCCTTGAATACTTGCTTGTATTTTATTTTTTATATCTATGAATTTATGATTAAGGTGGTAAAAAGCTCCATTATACATTCAGTTTAGGACATACAGACACACTAATGCATACAAATTAGCCTGCAGTCAGAAATAAGCACACAAAAAACATGCAAGATAAAATGTATGAAAAACCAGAAAGAGTCGTTAGAACTAAGATGTTTACAAGCAGATTAAAATGTAGCAGAAATCATTTTATATTGAAATTTACAAATATTTATATAAACACTGAAAATAAGCATGAAATATCAGATTAACAAATGAGATTGACAGAAGGGAAGGAACATTTTAAATGAAAAATCAGTTACACATTTTGTTTGTGTCATGTGGACTGAATTTCTGCTGAACTATTTTATTTCCTTTCTGCAGCTAAGTATTCTTGCTGTGTTCACCAATAAAGTTAAAACATTCACGTATCTGGGCGACTTTCCTTGTACTGAGTTTTACGTCAGCATTTGTTTTTCTTATCAGAGTGGCAGCTATTTCCTATTTTATTGATGTCACAAGTGATTTGCATTACAGATCTCTTCTAAATCTTGGTACATGCATGATAAGAGCTTTCAAAATGGAGGTTAGCAGATCAATCAGGCTTATTACTTTAGATTCCATCTTCTTCTTTTCTGCAATCACAGGCTGTAGAGGCCTGTAGAAAGTTCTGGCTTTTTTGTCTAACTCTGGACTTTGTCTTCTTCCAGAACATGAGTTTGCTTGAGTATCAGCTTTGCAAAGCTGGCTTATTTGTATGCAGACTGTTGGTACCTTTCCTTTCAGGCAGATGCATTATGAATTTAAAGGAAACAACCCTAATTAATCACCTCCCACAATATGCTTTCGGGGGAGGGGGGAGGAAGGGTCGATCCCCCCTCCCTCCCCCCACACACACAAACAATAGGGCCCCAGAAACCACATGGGGATAGCTCCATATAACCGTCAAGAAAATCATGGTATGGTCTTAAAGAGATCACATTTATATTCCTGAAGCAATCATCCACCAATAAGTTTATTAAAATAGGACATTTAAGCAATCAGCAATAGAGATATTGTCTTCATGCTGCTTTTGACACAAAATACATTCAAAGGCACCTATGCTGCTTTTCCTTCTTGATTTCCTATGGCAGTTTATGCTCCATTTCCTTTTATACTTTTTTCTGGTTTCCCTCAGTCATCCACGGATGCAATGTTTTCACTTGATTTGTTTCTATAACAAGGTTTTCATGTGTGTGTAGGTTGTCAGCTCCATGTTCAACACCCCCCCCCCCTCTCCCCCCAGCCTGCAGGACCAGTGTGCTAGTTTAGTCAAGTCCTCCTCAGTGGCTGTCAGACAGGGATAAACCAAACAGGGATACAACATGGTTAAACCTGCCTGGTATACACCATAGTTAAACCTGCCTGGGATATGACATGGTTAAACCTGCCTGGTATACATGGTTAAACCTGCCAGGGATACGACATGGTTAAACCTGCCAGGGATACAACATGGTTAAACCTGCCTGGTATACAACATAGTTAAACCTGCCAGGGATACGACATGGTTAAACCTGCCTAGTATACACCATAGTTAAACCTGCCTGGGATATGACATGGTTAAACCTGCCTGGTATACATGGTTAAACCTGCCAGGGATACGACATGGTTAAACCTGCCAGGGATACAACATGGTTAAACCTGCCTGGTATACAACATGGTTGAACCTGCCAGGGATATGACATGGTTAAACCTGCCAGGGATAAAAGTTCCCAGCAGATATACTCTGGGAATCATTACAGCACACAAGTCATCCACAAGTGCAACCAGCTATAAAAAGTATTTTAAAACTCTAGCCACCAATTTGCAAGCAATATGAAAGATTTCTGACAGCAACAAACAAAATCATGAACTATGGTACAGTGTTCTTCAACTAGTTGGTCGCGGAAAAGTCTAAGTGGGCTGCCACAAATTTCTGCATAATCATATAATAATGTATAGCATGTAGTTTTTCTCTTCCAGGATTATAGTCTAAAGGATAATATCTCAGAAATAAGAATCAGCTGAAAATGGCAATTATTTGACACTGGAATAAACCGCCACCTTTAGTTGTTTTTGCATTTGGTTAACTGCAAAGCAAATTTCCCTTTTGAGAGGGCCACTATTGTGAACAGGTTGAGAAACACTGCTATAGCATACATATATCAAAGAAGCAACATTGCAGAGATTATAATTTTTATATAGCAGTTTTAAAATTGATAATGAAATGTACATAACAATATATAAAATTTAAGAATAATTACCATTACACACACACACAATTTAAGAATAAAATAATGAAATAAAATTCCAGAAACTATGGGGGCTTGGTAAACAGATGCTTGATTCCTAACCAAATGTAAAGTAGTGTAATTATGGAAGCCACAATTTTGTCATGAAATGAATAAGGTGTTTTCTAAATCACTTCATCGTTGAAATATACTGGTGGAATGTTTCGAGTTAATAAAGCCTGTCATAACTTTTAATAAAACAAAAAATATATATACTCACATCTAAACAATCAGAGTAAAGTAGTAAAAATAGCTAAAAACTTGAAAATTTATTCATGAAATATAATGGATGAATATTGAAAATTTCTGACACTTTTTTGAATACTGTTTTTAGCCAGACTAGCTAGCGTAGTTGGTTAAACCTGACTTCACAGTGACGAACTTCTTGTGGTCCGGGTTAACACCCGGGGGTTGGCAGAAAAGCCACATTTCTCCCAGATTTACAGTATCTATTATGAAATCAAGGCTGAAAGGTTGCAAGATCCATAGTACAGAGCCAAAGGGTTAACAATTCATGGTTTCTGGATATTTGAAAAAAAAAAAAATACTGTTTTCTGTTACATAGAAAAGTATAAACATACATACACTGAATAAAGCAAGCAATGTGTTATCTTACTTTTCTAGCAGAACTATTTTGTTAATATTGAAGAAGGGGAAATAATATTTCATAAAAACAGGTTAGAGATTAAATATTTATTTCAAAGAGCAGCAGAAGAAGCATGTACCTCAGTGAGGTTATGTTTGTTGGGGTATCTGTACAACTTGTGGGTCCAGCAGTAAGTGTTTGCATGATCCTGAAAGTGTTTCATGCCTACGTTGGTAAACCAGCAGTCGAGCTGGCCTACTGTATACTCCTTCACGCCAATAAAGATAGCAAATGCTGCCAGAAGGTACACTGTAACAAAATGGTGGAGTTGATCGATGGTATCATCCTCTCGGATCTTCTCCCGAAGTTTCAAGTCAATGATGTTTTTAACAACCCTTTCCATGGTGAATTAACTGTTACTGCCTGGGAGAAATAAGAAAAGTTGTAAAATAATTAGACACACTCAGAAGTGTTACAATACCTCATTCCAATCAAATTTGTTTGGGTACCGGTAAAGTTTGTGGGTCCAGCAGTAGGAGTTAACATGCTCCTGGAAATGTTTCCAATTGTTAGCGATTACCCAGCAATCAAGCGGAGCACCAGCATACTCTTTCAAGCCAATAACTAAGGCGAAAGTTGCAAATATATACACCGTGACAAAGTGATGAAGCTGGTCTGTGGCATCATCATCCCGGATCTTTTCTCGGATCTTCAAATTTGGAAGTCCACTCAGCAGACGCTCCATGATCTTCTATTGATTAAGCTGAAACAAGACAGCATTCAAGGTGAAGGGTCACGTTCTCTGCATAACATTAAGATAAACAATGTTCATACATCAATTTACGGCTTTAATTTGGTAAATAAACATGCCTGGATTCACCATTAAGTCTAAAAATGGTGCCGGTACTCACCCCGAAAATGTTTATCACAAAAAGAAGAAAACATTATTTCCAGAAAAAAGGGGTGCATCAGTGACATACTGTTCAAAAAAAGGAAAGGAAATGCACAGTAATCCAACAGTGCATTTTTACTAGTTGATAGGAAAACCTGTACACCTAAAAACTATAAATGAACCAGATGCAAAAGAAGTGTCAATTGATTGGTTGAAACCTAGGACATTTTTTTGTGCAATTTCAACAATATCACTAATTGATTTTGGATGTCTAAATTATGACAATTTTTGTTCTTTTCCGTAACTATTTGACTACGCATTTTTTAAAGTAGTAAAGCAGAATTAGATAACTGCGGATTTTTTGGGGGTGTCATCGGGATATATCAAACAATTATGAAAAAGTGTTCCGTTTTTAAACGTTCATTTCTTTCAGCAGCTTTCGTTTTCATCTCAGTGTCTCTGAAACAGCTTTTCAAACTACTCTCATGCTTGTGGCACACTTTTTATACAAACATAATTTACAAAACTGTTTTTCAGTCTACAAGCAAACCAGATGTTAAACTAACTCCTCATGAGAGATAGGAAACAAACATAAACTGTAATAAAGAAATGTTTCCCAGCACAACCGATCTCAAGAAGATCTTTCATTTATATTAAAAAAACAATATTTCTAAGATTTGTTTTATTGCGATTGTGCATGAGTAATAATTATTAAACTGAAAACATTAATGTGTCACGACACCCAGTTTGGAAGGCTCTGCTCTGCTCTAATTTTAATTAAATATGACATATTTTTCTGTATATCCACATTTCTATGGCCTAAGTTTGACTGCATAAGTGCTCTGTGACTGTCTTTCTGCACCATATTTTAACACTGATAATACATGATTCATTTGAACACTTCTGCTTTTCACTGTAATAAATATTTCTCTGGATTCTTTCTAGATATGTACAAGGAATATAAAATCCCTAGCTGAATATACAAGGCCCCACCTACATGCCTGTTTGACCTTCCTTCAACAAACAGACACCTGATTATATACCCAGGCTCAAGTACCTGACAGTCCCTGCTTACCTGGCAGGTAAGCAGACAAATGTGGGGGACAGAAAGGACACTGGGTTTCACTTGCCAGGGGAAATGTGACACCAGCTGTCTAGGCTAAAGGGCTTCTATAAATTAGACATCAATGGTAATTTATGGGCTGTCTTGTCAACTCTGCTTCTTCTAGTGCTGGCCAGCCCTCAACTCTAGTGTTCTAGTAGTAGAGAGCTCTAACTTGTGGTTTTGTTCCAGAACTTTAATTTTGCATTCATTACTATTTCCTAGATCTGATTCATGCTTACTTGTATGCAGACTATGGATTCCATGCCTCACTGGTCTCTTGTACAACCTGCTTGTTGGGGGAGAAAGAGCAGTAGGTCTATTCCTAGGAAGTAAAAGCAGCCAGTGTGTTGTTGACCACATTACTCATGTGGTTTCTTTAGCAAAACACTTTTGCTGGGTCTGTAGGCTGCCGACCACACCCCCCCCCCTTTCTCCCCTGGGCTTGAGACTGGCAATGGCTGATATTTGATGACTTTATAGACTATAATTTTAATTAGCATAGATAAAAATTAATTAGTCAAAAGTAGTAGCCAAACTTTTATTTTCAAAAAAAAAAGAAGTAAACTCTATATATCCCAATTATCTTCTTCTTCACATTCACCAGCTGTAAACTCTGGCGGAAGGTTCTGGTTGCTCGTCCACTTCTGAACTGCAGTCCTTCTGAGTGTTGCATGTGCATCAGTTTTACAGATCTCATTCTCTTGAATACAGACTGTTGGTTCCTTGCCTCTCCGGCAGATGCACTCCGACTTCAAAGGAAGCTCCCCAATTAGTCGGACTCTTATGACATGCTTTTTTTGGGGAGGCAGTGTTTCTATTCTTGTTTTCCCCACAATGGGGCCCCGGAACCCACACAGGGGATCCCAATTATAACTAAGAGGGCTGAACAGGATATCGTTCATTAAATTACTGCTACATTATTTTTGTATGTGTCATACTTTTCTTCTTCTTTCGTTCGCATGAAATAAATTGTCTATATCTGCAAAGCCGTCTCTTGTATGAATTTCACTGTCTTTTGTAATTCACTAAGCGGCCCGTAAAGTTTGACTTCCACAAGTGTCTCTTTTGGCCAAATGTTTTGCCTGAAAGCGTTGAATATGGGACAGTCTTGAAGGATGTGATCTGTTGTTTCAGGTGCCAGTCCACAAGTACACATGGCCGATTGGCCAATCTTAAATTTGTTGTACATGTGGGAGCGAAGTCTATTGTGCCCTGTTCTAAGGCGAAGGATAATAACTTGCTCTGGTCTGTCCATAATATGGTAATCATCTTGTGCCAGTTTCGGTGGCATTCTGATTGATTTGATCATTCTCTTCTTCTGTTGATAAGAGACTGGTATGTCAGGTTGTTCTTCAGTTGCACCTTCCTTAGCTAGTTTATCAGCTTTTTCGTTTCCGGGAACTCCACAGTGGGAAGGTATCCACTGCATTACTAATTTTGTGTGTCATACTAAAACATGTATTTAGACCCAGCACTTGTATCTGCTTCTTTGAGCTTACTGGCTATAATCTATATATATAAAAATCAATGTTTGTGTGTTTGTTTGCCCCCTATAGACTCGGAAACTACTGAACCGATTTAGCTGAAATTTTCAGGATATGTTTGTTTTGACACCGGATTTTGAACCATCGTGGTTTGAAATTCAACCTGTCACTGTTAGAGATAGGTGACCACAATTTATGCCATAATATTCGCAACTAATATTTATAACTTTAGTGATTTCTAATTATAGCCACGTTAGTAATTGCGCATGCGCCGCCGTAGCCAGAACGCAAGGCTTCCGCCATTCGCCGGCGAGTTACGTGCAGCTAACGCCTTCTCTAATACATAGAGTAGGTCTAGGTACAGCAAACAAGACTATCTCTATAATTGCCACAATAACCATATTAAACACGATTTCTATTTTCTGTTTTTTTTTTCCAAACAACCTTCTATGGGGGGGGGGCAATCAAGGACTATCTCGACGCCGGCGCAAACATTGACTGCGTCATTAACTTCATTAACTGTGTTAGACACGTGCCATTTCTATTGTGCCGTTTCATTAATATATCTGGAGTATCTGTCTACGAGAAAAACAATTGCCTGCGGTTTTGAATTGTGTTTTAATCAGGACACAGAAGTAGGGACACACATCTCTAATAATTAAGTTCTCTTTTCGTTTATCCGATTAAGTGGCTGCTTGGTCGAATGGTTCCTGTGCGGGAGACCTGAATTCGAATCCGCAGTAGTTATTTTTTTTTTACCCCGGACTAAAATAATATCCTCATCTGCTCTGTCGTGGTGACAGCACTAGCCATGTTGCCTTAATATAAAAAAAAAAAAAAGACAACTAAATGGGTAAACCATTTGATAATTAAATTTGACCATTTCGCATACTTATGATTGCATTATTAAACTTTCCGATTGCATGGTTACGCTGAAATTTTATAGATTTTCATTTTTTTTCATTTAGATTTAGTTATTTCATCTGCGTTGGAATTTTAAGCTGTGCTGTTTACCATGGCGTTCATTTCCTAATTATGGTGTTTTTTTTCTCTGAACTACTTCAATGAGGGAAAGATTTGTCTGTGAATTTTTTTTTTTTGGGGGGGGGGGGGGGGGGCCCAACTATTTACTGAGAGAGCTTTAAGTCACAGTAACTGCTTTACCCACTTAAAGTAGCAGCAGCAGTAATAGTTGTGGTTGGGCTGTTACACCATAGTGCTCTCATGTGAAGACCGCCGGTAAGGTTATGGCGTTCTTCTGTCGGCAAGTGAAATTATACATCCTAACCTGACCAGTCTGTGGCGACAGCACTAGCCATGCGAACCAAATCTTCTGGCTCACGACTCTCTGTCTACTCCGATGGTAACACAGATAGCAGTGACATTATTTTAGTAGTTGTACTGGTACTTGAAGGATCATGTGGTAAATATTACACTAGCCCCATTCACTACCTATTACAATTCCTGCTCCCCATTTTAGTCCAGATGGACAGGGATGTCAATGTCAGTTACAGCAACAAAAAAATATCGCCAGGTAATGATTTTCAAATATTTCGAAGAGGGAGAAAGCAGTAGTCGGTGGAAGAGGGGAGGAGGGTAATGACTTAAATTTGATGAGGGAGAGGGTAGTAGGTGGATTTAGTTGTGGGGGGGGGGGGGGATCAAAGACTATCTCTATATCTGAGCAGACAATGATTGTATTAGACACGTGCGATTTCTATTTTCTTTCATTTCCATTTAGCCAAACTATGCCACAGCAACGTGTGGCCGGGTACAGCTAGTATAATTATAATAACTGGCAGAAAGTTCTGATTTTCTGTAGTGCAGAACTTTTATAATTATAAATAATATTTGATTATTTTGATGTTTTCTCCTCTACACGTTTTACGCTGTCCGGTTACTAACTAAGGTTAATGTTTAAATAATGAAGCTGAAGTGAACTTTAGACGTTAAGAACATTGTGTAAACTACATTACAAGATGATAGGAAACCAAACACCTGCGACCTGCTTTTCTTTCGCCACATGTCACAATTATTTATAATAAAATAAAGGGATTTTTTTGCAAGTTATTTATAAGAAACTTGATTTTGGTCAGCAGTTTTCGCTTAGTTTGTACCATGTCAATAAAGTCAATTATCAATAAAAAGCTACCTAACTATAATAATAATACAATACATACATTTGTGTAAACGATCTAAAATTATAATGTATAAATACTATTACCTTATACTTATATAATAAAGAACTAACGCTCAAACAGTCC